TCAACCCAATCGATATTAATATATTATACTTATACTTATAATTTATATAGGTACCTAAATTGAATTATTATAATAACACAATTTGAAGTATTAAACTAATATTATTTTAAATTGGTACTAATCGAATGAGTAATTAAAACTCTTTTTACGTTCGAATAATATCGGTATTTTAAAATTTACAAATAACAAATATCAAATATAATACGTTACAGACGAGTTGTTTATTTTAACCAAACAGAAAAGTTTGACAGAAAATGATAAAAATTCAAAAGAACATCAAAAGTGATACATTTTCAATTATTAATTTTATTAAAATTTCAATAAATATAAGTTTTTAAAAACACTTCTAGGACAATCAAAAAGTTTTTTCGTTCATACCTTCAAGTTTCAAAGGCAAATTTCAAAATACATAATAAATGCAGTTTTAGGCCTTTTTTATGCGGATTAAAGCTCAAAATAATGTTCACCAAAAAATATTTTATATATACATAATCAATTACAAAAGAAATAGTTAATTTCCAAATCAATGTTAATGAAAATTGGTTTTTAGAAATCGTAAATGGCATTCAAATCCATACTATTACTATTGTATTAAATTATATACAAAATAAAAAACAGATATTTACTACAAGGCTTCACTGACATAATAAAGATTAATCACGATTAATATTTCATAAAGAAAAATAGTACATTAGTATCAATAATTTCTAATAGGTAACACCGAGTATTTCTAATCAATCTGGACTCTAAGGAGACCTCCATTAAATTTTCTTAGACTGGGATCGTGGACAAAATGGTTTTATTGCCTGCTCCTGCCGACGGCTTAACCTATACTGAAGTTGGATCTTTGCCAGAGATATTTTGAAAATTTAGAATGTGGCCGCTTCATATTGGAATGAAGTTTTAATAACCCCATTAAACTTAATATTATTAATTTTTCGGTAAAACCACTATTCCTTTTCTTCTAGGCCACGCCATTGGGGCCGGTATTAAGACATTGTGGTATTTTTAAAAATTTTTCGCTCGACCAAATTTTTAAAACTTTGGCGTCACTGTTCACATTAATAAGAAATAAACTATATTAATAGGTACTGTACAGTCGTTTTCATTTTGTATTTTAAGTTGAGTGCCCAAAATATAAATCGTGTTTTCCAAGGACAATTTTAAAAACCGTATAACATCAAAACATTATTCTAACCTATGATAAAACCAAATTTCTGTATTTTTTTTAGGCAATGAACAGAAATATTTTAGATTCTGATGGTCTATTTTTGAATTCGCCCTAATCATTAGCCAAAGTTAGGAAAATACTAAATGTTTAGACGAAATTTTTAGTACACCAATCAATAATCGTATTTTTGAATCAAATATTTTTTTGATCTAATATTTTATACACTATTATGATATTGTTAAATATTTCATTTTTAAACTAATCTTTTCTATATGTATTTGAAAATATTTTATTTACAATATTGTAAAATATACATTATTATCGATTACCTATGTCATTGTATTTTTCAGTGATAAATATTGATAACAAGATTATTTAAAAAAAAAAAAATAATAATTTACTATCTTATAATTTTTTTTATTAAATTAAAAATATTTTAATTACATTTTACGACTAAATTTAAGTACAATTATAATATATAAGTATATATTGTTTCTGAGATGGAGGAAAAACCAAAATCAAAAAGTGTGACGTATGAACAAGACATTAGTAATTGATTTTGTCCACAAACATCCGAAATTGTGTACTAAAAAGATTGGACTAATTTTTACAATGAAAAATTCACAGTCACTATGTGAAACTATTACAAATATATTAAAACAGAGAACTGAAATTTTCAAGTTTTCTTAGTTGTAGCCCTAGTGGTACTGGTATTTTTTTTAAAATAGCGATATCATCTCTGTTCAGAATCGTTTTTCGACACAATGATACTAACCACTGAATTCAAATTTAACACATCCATTACAGTGATCTAGTCTATGATCGAGGTTCACTCCACCCCTACTATACAGCAGAACAAGTTTCCGATTATTTATTTTAAATACAATTATACATAGGTATTATATTATAAATTATCTATACATACTACATAGGTATTTATTTATCTTACGTTCGATACTTTAGCTGATTTCCTAAATGGTGGTTGAAGATAGGGACGCAATTAGTCTATTAACAAATTTATGAGTCCTTTGGTAAACCTAAATTTGTTCTCTTTCAGTCAAACCTACAATAATAAGTAAAATATTATACTTATCTGTATCTTATCTATTAATGTGGGAAATTAATTGTTTAAAATAAAAATATATATTATTGTACATTTTTCATTTAACATACCAATAAAAGGATCCTCAATTACATGAAATCGAACTGTATTTTGCCTTTTTTCGACAATTTCTAAATTGTTTATAACTTTGACGTTATTTAAATCAACCAAATGTTTCATATTATTGAAGTGTTTATTATTTTATATTTTATTGAACAGATAATTATAAACTAAATATATTGAAATTAAAACGACTTTACAAATAAACGGCACGCGCAGTGGCGTACATACGGGAAGGGTTTCTGGGTTCAAACCCCCCCCAGGGCCAAAAAAAAAAAAAAAGAAAATTGTTTTATTATTGATGACGTGTAATATATTCGTAGTTTCATTATTACGCTTTGAACATAAAATATACAACTATACAAATATTATGATAATTAAATAATTTTATTGATAGGTGTTTGAAAAGTTTTGTTAACTATGCTGTTTTTATATTCCAATAACTATTAATTTACTGTAATGTAAAAGTAAACTGTAAATTGGTAAAAAAGTTGTATAAAATAATAACTGTTTATAGCAGTTATTTATCTTATTTATCTGTACAACGAAAAAAAAAAAGATAAGGATTATTTTTGTTAACCCCCCAGAGCAAGATCGAATGTACGCCACTGGGCACGCGAATGTTTTATTGTTTTCACATAACATATATACAATAATGTTTATTTATATGCTAAAGCACGATTAGTGCAATAAATACCCACTCTAAAAAGTTTATGTAACATTTTAGTGCACTAATAGTTGAACTACTAAAAGTTAATGTTTTAATGTACTAATACGATTAGTGTGAAATTAATGATTAATGTAAAATTCAAAAATAGACCTCTTGAGTGAAACGATTACTTAATTGGTTATACGGTGATCTATTTCTTATTACATGTCTATGCACAATTTTGACCACAAGGATTGCTTCAAACTTTTGAAGATTTAAATTTTTCACTGTATACTTATATTTTTTCACTGTATACTTATATCACAATTTGCTAGGGATGGTTTAGTATCAAATGTTTTTGTTAGTTATTTATAGATAATTGAATATATCATGTTTTCTTATCTTTTTTTGTAAAATATCAATAAAAAAATTATGATTTGAAAATAATAGTTCCTCGTATAATTATAAGTATTTGATTATAAATTAATACTTAACACTCTACCATGGACCAAAGTTTTTTTAATACAGACTTGTTAGAAGTATTTAAATGTTACATTATTATTAATTAAAAATATTTCAACTTATAAGCGAATACAATCAAATAAAATTTATATTTTCTTCTAATGAACCATTATGAAAATTAAGCTTATATATATACTCAAATTAAATAGTTGGTATATCAATGACAAATTATTATGTTATAAAAGAATAATAAATACAATTTCTTATTTTAAATAGTTATACTATAAATAATAATTATACTTATTTACCAGGGTTGAAACATATAATACGGTATAGTACAAAACACATATTATACATACATATAATATTCATAATAAAAAACAAGTAGTTTTATACGTTTTAAACTGTATAAAAAGAAAATACCTTATAAATAAACAATTGTGGTGCTATTAATCTATTGTTAATAATTATCATTATTTATCGGGGGCGTATTTATAGTAAATTCATTGTACTTATGATATTTGTAATACTTTTAATATTATATACTACCTAATAGATTATAAACGAAAATTTTAAAGTAGATATATAATATAAAATACTTAAAACAGCAAAATATATTTTTTATTTTTAAGCGTGAATTTAAAAAATAAACCGTATTATATGTTTGATTTATACGTGTAACATATAAAGTTTTATACACGTATATTATAACCCTGTTAATTACATACATATATATAATACAATCAGAAAGTAGATGGCAGCATCAATAGTTTGACTTATAGCTGCAGTTTTATTTCAAATATATTTATATATATATATATACACACACACACAAAATATTTAATATCTTCATCAAAATCTTGTTAAGATTAATAAATAACAAAAACAATAATATGCAAATTTAACTTGATAAAATTAATATTTTTCTGCGTTTATTGATTATTGAATATTTAGGTATAACATACATTTTTGTATATTTAACAGTCAAATTTCAAAAATGTACTAAAATTGGAAAATTTATCTGAAACATTAATTTAAATAGTAGTAAAATGGTTAGCATCAAATTTATAATTATATTTCTCTTTCAGGATAATTATTGCAAAGAAACATCAAAAGAAATTTGTAGTTTAAAAAAAAAATGAATTAATTAAAAATGTCACTTATTAAAATAATTTTATATAAAATAACCCACATTGCTTCAAATTGTATTAAGAATTAAAAATTGCTTAAAAAACTAATTGTTACAAATCAGGGTCATATTACATAATATTTATCATGTAAAAAAGTTTGATTTTTTTCAGTATCATCAAGATTAAAAACTATTAATTTGATGATAACTAATTATATTAATATATAAATATGTATTATATGAATACAAATCTTTATTAAACTAGATTTTTTGTTATTGATATTTTTATAATTTTATATAAAAAAAAAAGAGAAAATAGTGATGAATAATATTCGTACAAACATTAATGTAGCAATCAAATATTAAACATGACTTGCTGATATACAATAGAAATAACTTATTTCTATTCAAGGTTTTTCCATGGTCATTGAATTTGATGAGAAATTTTATTTAAACACTACAGTATCCAACATGGAACCTAAGCATTGAACAATATTTGCAGACATTAAATTATCAACTTTTTCTTCCAAATGCCTCTTAGGATCTTGTTTGCCAACATTTTTAATAGCCAATTGTTCTGGTGTCATTTTATCTTCTTCTTCCAGTGCCTGTAGATAATTAATAATTATTAATAAAAATTTACAATAAAATACTATTATATATTTTATTTAGTGCATTACTTTGTTATAACTCTTAGCTAATTCTAGCATGTCTTTAACTGTACTTCGGTTGATATCACAATGTTTTTCATAATCTTCCAGAGCCATTCCATCCATCCACGATTTTTTATGCAAATTCAATAACATTTTTTGTTCAAGTTCATTTTTGCGATAGTTTATTGAAATTGAATAATAATGACGATTAAGACCATGAATTAAAGCCTATAATTGATGTATTTTATGATTAAAATAATTAAAGTAACAATAATAAACATTTTACAGACTTGAACTGATGGTTTTTGCAGATGTCCTAAATTGCTAGTAGTTTGTCTGGGCTCTTGACCAAGTACCATCATATTGGGGTTTATTAAACGGAAAGCATCTATCACAACTTTTCCTAAAATAATTATTAATATTTATTAAACAAAATTTTAAAATTAAACAAAATTTTAAAATTAAACATTCAACAATATTTAGACTTAATATTTAATTGAATTGGTCATTTCTCCACATATTTTTAAAACTAGTTTTATATGACATATGTTTTTAATCAATAATAACACATATTTCCAGCATTACGGCCATATCATAGTTGATTTTATATAAGGGAATTAAATAATTTAACAATTTTTCAATTTTTGTCTAAATTTAATTTTGATCTCTAAAACCAGTTTTCCACGTTTCCTGAAAATTTTTATTTCATGGAGATATGGCCTTTTCAAAATGACAGATTCAATTAACAGAAATATTCATTTTGCATATTTTTTTTATTATAATCGAGTATAAGTTTAATACCTTAGGTGCATTAATAAAACTTTTTTATGACTGACATTAACCTTAGTCCTTTTTTAAATACAAACAAAATTACTAGAAAAATTATAATTTCAACAACATAGCAGTAAAATTTCTTTACCTTCACTTAAATAAAATAATCAAGAAATAAATATTTTTAAGTCAAAAAGGTGAATATTATAAAGAAAATGAAGAATAATCAGTTCAGGATAATTATCAAAATTAATGTTCTCAACTTTAAATTAACCTAAGTCCAATCTCAATCTAACCTTCAACAAAAGACTTGACATCATAGACATACTAGAATAGTGACTTATTACAAAATACTTAAACAAGAACAAGTTAATATTTGAGTTATATATATATATATATATATATTATAGTTATATTTATATCTTCTAAAATATATGATTTATATAAATTATAAAATGAATTACAAATCTATTATAAGACCAGTTTGGTTCTATGGAATCCAAATCTGGGAACCAACTAAAATACCAATATCTCAAATATACTAGACCTACCACTTTTGTTCACCTAAAAAGAAAATTAAATTTAAAATTCATTAGCAGATTAATAATTAATCAAATTGATTCTCCATCTTAACCAACTTTGTTAGTCACAGATCATACAGAGATGTATGAGCATACAACTCATTTTTAAAATATCCTCCTTATTCCTAACTAAAACTTTATTTATAAAATGAGCCTCTAAGATACACCTACAATTTTATGATTCTTTGTTTTAATATATTTTTTTTATTTTTTTTTATTGTTCTACTTATATAATATTGTTGTTGTACTGTTACTCTTAGGTCGAAGAAAAAAATCCATTATTTATAATAAATATGTCCACTACAGGCCTTTTAGAATCAAAACAGGACCTTCCTAATTTAATATGAGCAAATCTCTCTACAAATACCTTCAACTACATATACTCAAAAAATATCATTATAAAAGATTAAATCATCATCATAACTAGTGTTTATAACTCTATTAGAGTTTTTGCCACCAACACTATGTCCCTCCATTTCTCTCGATCTTGTAAAATTTCCTTCCATTCTTTTACTCCCACAGTTTTAAGATCCTCTTCTATTAAGTCAAACCATATTTTCCTTGGTCTGCCTCGAGGTCTCTTCCCTTCTGGTTGCCATTCTATCACTGCCTTAATGGTTTCTTCTTCGCTTCTTCTCATTATGTGCCCAAACCACTGTAATCATTGTCCTTTTATGTAGCTAGTGACTGGTGCTAGGCCCAGTTTTTCCTGTAGTTCCTTATTGAACTTTCTTCTTCACTCATTTATTCTTGCGTCGCGAACTGGTCCACATATCCTTCTCCATATTTTGTTTTCGAAGGTTCTAAGTCTTCTTTTCGTCATACTTGTTGTCCATACTTCACACCCATAAGTGAGAGTAGGCCTTATTATTGCCATGTATAACCTCAATTTTGTCTTTTTTGACAGCGCTTTAGATTTAAAAAATTTTGATAGTGCAAAAGAGGCTCTTTCTGCCTTTGCTATCCTCGCACTTATCTCCTGTGATCAATCATTTTTTGTATTAAGAAGCGCTCCTAAATATTGGAATTCTCCCACTTTTTCGAAAGCTATTGATTCAAATACGTCTTGTGGTGGGTCGCTGTCGAGAATCGTTAAAATTTTTGTTTTTTTTCACATTAATTTGTAACTACTTTTGCTGCAGCGTTTTCGAGAGCCATTGTTAGATTTAAAGCATCTTAAAGATTACACGTTAAATAATTAAACAACCAAAATCTTCTTATTAATAATTAATTTTAAAATCTTAATTTCTCTTTTTGTAAATATTCAATGTTGCTCAAATATAATTGGTCTAGAGATATACTTAAATTAAAAATAAATAATATTAATTAATAAGAAAAAAACCAGCAAATGTGGACAGTTAAATTTATTTCTGATGTGCTGTTAGTGAACTATCTCCTCCAAAAGATATTTATCCAAATTATACCTTAGTTGTACATACAATTTGCTGTTTTAGATAATAGTTATTAAATCATTTTTTCTAATGAAAATAACTAAATAATATTATTTTTAGTGGTAGGTCTACTCAATTATAATTTTTGAAACTGCTTAAATCAGGCAACAATTTACAACAGCAATCCTACTCAAATGTATTACCTGCAGGCAAGTTGAATTGAATTCAAATTAAACTGTTGTTTTTTAAAATATATTATAGTCAAATTAAATAAATAATATATATAACTTATAGAGGTAAAATAAATTGAAAGTTTGAAAATCTAATAATTGTTACAATAATTGACATTGTTGATAGTTCAATATATAACAAAGTATTAATAAAATATAATAATTTATTCTTTTACTAATTTAATAGGAATATAATGAATAAAATACTTATTTTCTTAATTAGTAATAATGAAAGTAGATTACTTCTAAAATACATAAAAATACAAACATTAAGTGTTACAGATGTTATCTCTAGTAATTTTATAATATTACAAATGGACTTCAATAAGTTTCTATTTTAAACCAAATAAAGCTAAGATTTAAAAAGCAATACCTTTGACGCTCTGAATTGGGTCAACTACAACAGCAACAGCTCTTTCAGAAAGAGCTTCAAAACTTTGTTGTGTATTGATATCTACACCAGACAACCAGCAACCAAATCCAGGATGTGAATGGTACCATCCAACAACCATTTCAGGTCTACCAGTTTGTTTCAACATATCTAACATCTTTGCTTGGAAAACTGGGTCTACAGCCTCAACACTTACACCCTAAAATTATTGATAGTTAGTATCAATTGAAACCTTACATAATAAAGCATAATCGTACAGTTCCCGTTTGAGGCATAGCAAATACATCAATTACTCGGACTGTATAATCATCCACAAATTCACCCAACATTAAGCCCATAACTTCCATAGGAACTCCAGCACGTCCGTGTTTCAACATTTTTAACAAAGCCAATGATGATACATAAACTTGTTCAGCAGTATCAACAACAGGAGTATCGGCAGCTGGAGCAGATCCTTGTCCCAAAGGAATACCACCACCCAATCTTAATAAACGATCCATATTTCAAAAGGATTATCTAAACACACAAGTATGATAATAACAAATTACAATATTACATGACGTTAAAAACAATAGCTATTTAAATATTAAAACAGTATTTACCAGAAATTTCGTAGATTTTGTTGATGTATTTATTTTATTTCATTCAGCTAATATTATAATTTAAGATTACAACATTTACCATGCATGAGAAGCAATAATTGACAATGGAAATGTTTGAAAGTGGTACACGGCACTGACTGTAAATGCATTCGAAAAATGATTAAGCGAATTTGAGTTTGACAACAAACTAATCACATAACCTAAAATACTTCGTTTACTACAACAGTGAGGTTAAAAATGAAAATTAAGATAATAATAATATTATCATTTATCAGTAAAACGAAATGATAACACATTATGAAATTGCTATATACAATAATTTAATATCTTCAATACTTACAAATTTATTTGCAATACAGGACTTTTCAATTTAAAATAACTGTGTTTTTTAGATTTATGAATATCACAAGAGATTTAACAATTATAACTAATATAATTGATTTTTTTTTAAATTTTATGAATATTATTAATTGAAACATTAATTTATTACTTACTATTTAATTATATATTTCATGTTGTAATGTCAGAATCTAAAGAAAATGTACGTAAGCCTCGGTATGCAGGAGGTCCTCACGGGTTGGGTATGTACAATTATTATTAATAATAGTTCTTACTTTACATATTACTTTTAATCAATTTAATAAAATGTGCAGGAGATCCAGATGATTATAAATTACGAAAAATCGAACAAAATGTGGTAATTCCTAAAATTGTACGAGAAAGAGCTAAATATGAAAAATGTGTTGAAGAAAATAAAGGTATCTATTCAATTTTTGAAAATTATTTTTTATTAATGAAAATTTATTATATTTTATATTTTCAATTTTCATTTAGCTTTTGGAGATTGTTGTTTGGATACTGGATTTTTTATGTTTTATAAATGCAGACAAGAAGTGAAATTATTAAATACTTGTATGGAAAAATGGTTTATAAATGAGGATTTCATAAAGGAATGTCGAAATCAATACTTAGAAGAACGAAGACAATATAGATTAACTGGATTAAAAAAAAATTCTGACGGAATTAGAATGAAAAGTTGAAATGATAAAGTAATCATAGACTATAAAATTAAACCAATGTAGTCATAAAATTAGTATATTGTGAAGTTTATTCATATTGAAATTTTCTATTTTTTTATGTAAATTTTACCTATATTTATTATTTATGTCATATTAACAACATTAAGGTTTCATTCTGTTTTGAGATGGCAACCAACGTCTTACAATAGTGTCCTTTACAGTGTATTGAGTTAGATCTATAGGCATTCCTTCTTCATATGGAGGACCATGAACTGTACATATTAATAAATCCTTATTAGCAGCTTCTATTACTCGACTGCATCCAAACCACATTGGCCATGATGACAACAATTCACTATTTTGACCATTAATGCTGACTACGACCACATATGAAGAATGGTAATAAAAAGGTGACAATTTGTACAACACTAAAAACAGATTCATTGATAAGAACAGTTAAAATTATTAATTAATATTTATAATTTACCATAATCACCACCATATTGGTGTCCTGGTTTAACCACCCACTCTTTTGATCTATAATAATGATATGCAGCATAAAAATATGGAAAATCTTTTTTTAAACCATTAAATTGCTTCCAGCACTCCTGTACATTCATTACTAAACCATTTTCTCCTTGTATCTCCAAACATTCTAATGTATAACATAAAAAAAAAGCTTCTTCTAAAAGTAAATAATATAATACATTTTGTTCACATCCAGATAAGATTAACAATTTATTAAGTTCTTTATTAAAATTAGTTTTGAGATCTTTCCAATTAGTAGGAGTACCATCAACAACTAAATTATCATTAGTGTTCGGTTCTTTAATGTAGTTGGCTAAACAATTTTCTAGTGTATGGTCTTGTATATTTTGTTTCAGTAAGTTAATTTTTTGTGTGCAATCAGCAGTTAAGTTTTTTTTAGACGTACTAGGTTCTTTAATTAATTGACAATTTTCATCATCATTTTCAACCTGTATTTCTTCAACCTTTTTATTTTCTATATTACTAGGGAATTCAAATGGCACTAATTCCATTGCATGCCAATTCTTTTTTTGTTTAAATACTTGATTTAGTAATGTTTTGTAGTCTACAAATGTGTTCTTGTCAAATACACCAGATTGTCCAAAATAACCCTAATATAAAGAATGTCAGTTTAAATTTCTGAACAAAAACAATAACTATATTACCAACCAAATTGCAAAGACGTGATATGTCATTTGAATCGTTGACAACTATTATTCGCCCATTAAAAATCCCTTGGTACTTAGGCCATGAACTCTCATCGAATATTTTTCCATTTTCATCATAAATAGGATAAATTAAGAGTTTAATGTCTTTTAAATTCTTTTTAGACACCGGAGGCTTTAAAGGTAACATTTAAGCACAATATATATAATTAAAATAAGTAAAAAATTAAATAGTACGTTTTTTTAAAGATTCTACGAAAACGTTGAAAACAAATTATTTATTTTTCACATTTAAACTAATAATATTGAACTAATTTCTCTTATCTTGATATTTAGTGTCTTATCAGTGTGTCCAACAACAGTGAAAAATCAGTGTTGATCAATTTTATAATCACACGCACCACTTAAACCACTAAAATTTAAATCACGAATAGCATACGACTTTTGTGTTCTGTGATTTTAATAGTTTTGATTAAAATACATTATAGAACATTATTAGCATTTATAACCAATGATGTTAGTACATTAAAATAAAATATCGTACACAAAATACAATTTAATAAATAACTGAAAGACGACGACGGCACACAGAATCTCAAAACTTCAGTATTACAAATTACTTGTTTTCAAGTTGTGTAAATAGGGACTATACACCATAAAAAGGAATCTTGGTAATGATTGTATCACAGACTTGAAATATAGTAAAATATTCGAAATTAAAGGGTTCAATTCAATTAGATTTAATTTTACGTAACACATGGTTTCGTTCGATTTAAAAAGTAATTGTAAAAATTGTACTTAAAATATTGAAAAAAACATTAATTTTTAAAATAACTTGTATCACTAATATGTGATATAATTACGATCAGTGGCGTATCCAGGATTCATTTAACGGGGATGTTTTAAAATGTAATAGATTTATGGTAAGTTTGGATCTGCCAAACCCCCCCCCCCCCCCCCGTATTGCATTAATAAATACCACGTATTCATATATATTATTATATTAATGAAAATTATTATATTAAGACAGTATATGTAAAATCTACAAGTTGTACACAAGGTTTATTCAAATTATACTATAAGTAAGTTTGAAAATTGGTGAAATACTATAAAATACGGTCAATGGGAGGGGGGGTGTTTTAACACCCATATCACCCCATAAATACGCCCCAGTTTACGATATAATTATATACTATGTGGTAAGAAAAAAAATAATGAAATTCATATAAACAAGTAAACAATGCACACATACATATGTCATATATATAATAACATACGAGTAGGTAAATTTACTACAACTAATTTTAAAAGTACCTACGCATTACTTTTCAGTTTAAAAAGTTAAGTAATTTCGTCAAATTGTAGCCCGAGTTATGAAAATGTTTACTGTCACAATATTTTCATGTGTAAAAAACAGCTGTAATTGAGTTACTTTTTAATGTAACATATCAGACCGATGAACGGACTTTGTATTTTTAGAAAAAAAATAAGCATGCGTGAACACAAAATAAACAGAGAGAGGTGGAACCGAAAACATGTGTATTACTCGTATAGATATTACGTATATATACGTGTATATTATTATATTACAGTCATATTATAAACAATTTTAAAATTTCAAGGACCTACGCTTTTAGTCCCTCTCCAATATATACTTGTACATTCGTGTTCTCCTGAATGTTACACATAATATCGTTATGCCCATATCACGAACAACAAAATATTTTATTTTTTTATGGTAATTTTTCATTATAAGCATTATAGACTATCTATACCATACATATTTTATTCGTGCCGATTTCTACAAAAATTAAAAATATTGTTAGTTACGTACTTAAACATCTGAGGTACCATTTTAAAATAAATAATTGGTTGATATAAAAACTATCGAAGCTTTTGGTTGCAGGATACTCGTATAGACGCATCTTTAGCAACGGTTATTTTAATTTTAAAAAATTATTATCATTCATAAAAATATAACAGAATCGGACACTACGTTTTTTGCGACACTGTCATACAAAAAAAAAAAGAAATATAATTGTAGAGTACCTACCTAGTTTTTAATGTTTATCACGAAATGTGTTTCTGCAAATTAGATGACTGTCAACATAAATATTATTTGAATTTAGGTGTTGACACTCTATAATAATGAATTTGGAGTTTATCTTACTTATGTCTATTATATATATACACTCTTATATAAGTCGATAGTGACAACGTGTAGGTGTAACCAGTCGGACTACAAATGTTATTGAATGTCAAGAGTTTAGAATAATATTTACATCAACAACGCGATGTAATTACGTTCTACAATATGTATACTTTGTGTTTCAAACTTAAATCAATAATGTTTAAAAATAGAATATTCTTAATACTGTATTATATATATATATATATATATATTGTCGCGTCCCGCGTATGTAAATAACAATAGCACTATAGTCACCCTGCATTACATATATGCATGAATGTGCAACGATACATATAATAAACGAATTTTTATAAATATTAAAACGAGTTTTAATATTATCATTTAATAACACAAAATTAAAACGAGAAAACAATTGTTCAAAAAGCCACATCCACGGATAAATTAAAGCATACACATTATTACACAAAAATACACCTATACAAAATTCGAAAAAGGAAACAAATAAATTATTATTAGGATAACATCCACAATATCACATGAATGTCATTCAATAAGGAAACAATTATTCAATAAACCACTCCTGTGAGATAAATTGAATTATATAAGTTATCACATTAATTGCATACGCCATCCCACACACAAAATCAATAAGCATTACTATGTTTAACTATCACTCATTTTCACATACACACACACACTTGCGTCCATCTGGTATATAAGGCACCCGGAAACAAGGGCAAATCAGACGAGTTCTTGCTATGCGACACCGAGCACCTTCACGCAAGTGGTCTGGACTTAGACTCACAACAGTTTATTAAATTATTAGGACTTGAAATATTTCACATCAAATATTAATTATTTGTAGTAAGAATAATTTGAACAGTTTAAATAAAACACTTTAACCACAACTAGTAGTAATTATTTTACAACATCCACCTACATTCAAGCATTGAATAGATTGAGCGAATAACTGAAATACGATCAATAAGTTAGCACGCAATAATATATATATATAAAACTAGCTGACCTGATAAACGTTGTTTTGTCATATAAATTATTTCTAGAGAATATTTTGCCAAAAAAAAATAATTAATTTAATATAAGTGTATAATGATGATATAAGTGGAAGAGGTATGGAGTGCTGTGAACAGTGACGGAATATAAAAATGAAAAAACATCAAACATTTATTTTTTTATTATTTTTTTAAAATCAATCCTTTAAAATTATATATATCGCTAATTATGACAAGATTAGTAAAAAAAAAATATCAATTCCTTAATGTAACAGAGTGTACAATATTTTTTGTTATCCCATCTTTCGCCAACACAAACAAATTTGATGGTTCGAGAGCACGCCATGTATAATTGACCGTGTGAAAAACATGATGTGCTCAAATCTAAGCCACAGACAGACATCGTTTGGCCTTGAGACTTATTAATAGCCATTGCAAATGTCAATCTAATTGGAAATTGAAGGCGTTTAAATTGTATTGGCACATCTGTGGATATAATAGGGATTCGCGGTAGTAATATATTTTCACCTAGGAATTTGCCATTTAAAATGATGGCTTCCATAAAATTTTTCATTAATTTTTTAAAGTCTAATCGCGTGCCGTTTTACAACCGTGGTGAGTTCAAATTATAAATCAAAATAACCGGAGATCCAATCTTCAGTTGTAAATTATGCGGTGGCTTGCCTGGTAAATATAATGAGTTTAAAAACTCTGTTGGATAATTTACAGCTTCAGTTACATCGCAAACTGTATCAATAGATTTGTATGACTTTCCTCTGTAGTAACTTTCCCATCACCGATATCTAA